CTGGGTGTGGCTAGAGAAATTGAACTCAGCTTTCCAAAGATGTGATAAACCACAGTTAATTTATGTTTTAACAGGGGGGGGGAATCACTTTTTCACACAGGGCCATGTAGGTTTGGATTTTTTTCTCCCTTAATAATAAAAACCTTCATTTAAAAACTGCATTTTATGTTTACTTGTGTTATCTTTGTCTAATATTTAAATTAGTTTGATGATCTGAAACATTTAAGTGACAAAAATATAAGAAAAAATAAGAAATCAGGAAGGGGGCAAACACTTTTTCACACAACTGTATATCATATAATAATATATATATCATATAATATATATATCATATAATAATATATATATATCATATAATAATATATATATCATGTAATAATATATATATATCATATAATAATGTTCTGTACAATATAATAATGTATATCATATAATATATATAATAATATTCTGTATAATATAATAATGTATATCATATAACAATATATATCATATAATATATATATCATATAATATATATAATAATATTCTGTATAATATAATAATGTATGTATCATATAATATATATATCATAATAATATATGTATCATATAATAATGTTCTATATCATATAATAATATATATATCATATAATAATGTTCTATATAATATAATAATATATATATCATATAATAATATATATATATCATAATAATGTTCTATATAATATAATAATATATATATCATATAATATATATAATAATATTCTGTATAATATAATAATGTATATCATATAATAATGTTCTGTATAATATAATAATATATATCATATAATAATATATATGTAATATAATAATGTATATCATATAATAATGTATGTATCATATAATATATATATCATAATAATATATGTATCATATAATATATATATATAATAATATATATATCATATAATAATGTTCTATATAATATAATAATATATATATAATATAATAATATATATGTCATATAATAATGTTCTATATCATATAATAATATATATATCATATAATGTTCTATATAATATAATAATATATATATATCATATAATAATATATATCATATAATAATGTTCTATATAATATAATAATATATATATCATATAATAATATATATATCATATAATAATATATATATCATATAATAATGTTCTATATCATATAATAATATATATATCATATAATAATGTTCTATATCATATAATAATGTTCTATATAATATAATAATATATATATCATATAATAATGTTCTATATAATATAATAATATATATATCATATAATAATATATATATATATATCATATAATAATGTTCTATATAATATAATAATATATATATCATATAATAATATATATATATATCATATAATAATGTTCTATATCATATAATAATATATATATCATATAATAATGTTCTATATAATATAATAATATATATATCATATAATAATGTTCTATATCATATAATAATATATATATCATATAATAATGTTCTATATAATATAATAATATATATATATCATATAATAATGTTCTATATCATATAATAATATATATATCATATAATATATATATATATCATATAATAATATATATATCATATAATAATATATATATCATATAATAATGTTCTGAATCGGCTCTCAAACGGGTTTTGGGGTAGGATCGCGAGGATCGCTTCCGGTTTAAGTGAGGCTCGCTTGCGGTTGAAATCGGTTCAACCGGAATTGAGGAAATGACAAATAAGAGACTTGGGATGTAGGCTAGGGGTGCATCCCAAGTCTCTTTGGCCCAATCCCAACGTCCCCCCTAAACCCTCAAACCCTGAACC